GAGTTACAGCCTTCCTGGAATCCACAGCACCAGTTAATTGTCTTTCTGCTTTGTGAGAGAACAGCAGCTTAAATATTATGTGCAGAACTATGAGCTGTATAGAGCCTTGAGCCCTGCAGAATTTCTGACCTGTGGTTTTCCTGTGATCCTTGGAGTGTTAATGAAGTTGCAAGGCTAGTTAGTATGATGCCATTGAGTTTTTTGTATGCTGATATCCTAGAAATTACTGTTTTGACTTGTAAGATGGGGGAGGAATCCAACAAACCTTGAACAGATTTTCTGATATGAGTTCCACCAAGATGACACACAGTGGGACCTCTAGGGTATTTGATGACCTTTTTATTAATTTAAAATGATGAAAAATGTTGTGAATTTTTCAATGGAGTAATGTCTTAGTATCTCAAAAGTGATCTTTGAGCTTACTGAAGCAGATACTTATACTGAGTCTTTGTTCTTGATTCAGGTCTGAGATCTAGATTTACACTCAGATTAATTTGCTAGTTTATGTATTTAGAATTTAGATCTAAATTCTTTGTTGGCTTTATAGTGGCATTGAAATTCCCGAATTAGTCATGTGAGATAGCTTCTTAAATTTGGGCTACAAATATAGTCATAAATTTGTAGGACATTTGTGCAATGTTAGAACATGTTGCCACAGTCTTTTTTTTCTTTGTTAACACAGATTGGAAACCTCCAGCTGCACAAACTGGATGAGCTTGACTGCCTTGTCAAAGGCTTATTGTACATAGACTCTGTCAGCTTCAATGGCCAGGCAGAGTGCTATTATTTTGAAAATGCCTCAGATCCCGAGAGATGCCAAAAGATGCCTTTTAACCTGGATGATCCATACCCATTGCTGGTTGTTAACATTGGTTCAGGAGTCAGTATTTTATCAGTCCATTCCAAAGACAACTATAAAAGAGTAACTGGAACAAGGTAATTTACAAATCTATATTGGGGTTGTTACACTATGGGGCAGTGACACAAGGATCTTTCATGGGAGGAAATGCTGTTTGAAAGCAACTGGTTTTCTCTGTCCTTAGTCTAGGTGGAGGGACCTTTCTTGGGTTATGCAGTTTGCTGACAGGCTGTGAAAGTTTTGAAGAAGCTCTGGAAATGGCATCCAAAGGAGACAGCACACACGCTGACAAGCTGGTTCGGGATATTTATGGTGGGGACTATGAAAGATTTGGTTTACCAGGATGGGCTGTAGCATCCAGGTAAGCAGGAGTCTCTTTGTGGGTTCTTCTGTTGGTTTGTGGAGCTTCAAAAACAAGACTTAAACTATTCATGCAGATATAACTACTTTTTAGCAAGGTTTTATTGTAGTCAAGTTAGATTTTTATCCTAAAAGTGTGTATCCTTCAGCTTTCCTGCTGATTTAAAGCCATGTGCAGGTGCCTGCTAGGTCAATATTGAAGAAACCTCCTGAGGTATTTCATGCACAGCTTTGTGTGAGTCAGAGGGAACATGAGGTGATTGCAGGAGCAGCAGGAACAGAGTGCAGAGGTGGTGTGCTGTAACCCAGCAGGCACTTAAACACCACACAGCCACTCCCTCCTGTGAGATGGGGGAGAGACCTGGGAGGAAAAAAATAAAATTGGTGTGTTGAGATAAAGTGTTTAACAGGACAGAAATGGAACGGAACAGAATGGTCTCCTCCCAACTCCTTGTGCCCCCCCATTGTGCTCACTGCTGGGGTTGCAGTGAGGAGCAGAAAAGGCCTTGACTGCTCAGCAATAACAAAAGTATCCCTGTGTTATCAACAGTTTCCAGCACAAATCCAAACCACAGCTCCATAGTAGCTACAATGAAGAGAATCAACCATCCCAGCTAAAACCAGCACACAGCTACTAGGATGCAAATTAACTTTGTCCCAGTTAAAACCAGTACAAGAGAGGAAAAAAAGTACCAATTTCTTTTTGATTGCCTAGAGTCTTTTAGTAGAGGGAAGGCGAGTGGGAGATGGCTTTTGTGTTGCTGTAGAGCAATTCCTAATTTTTTTTTTTTGAAACATGGTTGTCACTACAGACACTTGATGTAATGTTTTAACTACTTTTCTCACTGATGGCTGTTGAACACAAACAGTTTGCACTATAAGGATGTCATTGTCATCAACAGAGGACTTGTGTCACAGCTGCACACATTATTTCCACTGAGGAATATTATTGATGCTATTACACCTTCCTATCCTAACAAAAAATAAGAAAAGTAAACTCTGCAAGCAAAAGAGTATTCATTAAATCTTTGCTGTTATTCCACAGGGAGTCATAATTCCTGGCAACTTAATTGTTCTCTCTCTCCAGCCACCTGAGTCCAAGCCTCTTAAGAGCCCGTGTGCTGAGAGGTTTTAATATGTGTGAACTTCACACTTCAGTCAATAACATTTTATCTTGCTTTATGTTGGTACTTTCTGTTCTCCTTTGCTATTTAAGATCCTTAAGAGCTTTAATGGCTTTTTGAATTTTAGAATAATTGGGATTCTTGGTCTCCAACAGACTTAGATCTGGTACAGAGACCTTGGTGGTAAAATATCACACATAGCTATGGATTCTTGTCTTTTGTGCTGTGCATGGAAAGGGAAGTGCCCTTCTGATCCAGAACTCTTCATTTGTGCAACCTAAATTGCATTCTGTCACTGTTCATTTTGTTTCAGAGGGTTGTGTTCCATCATAAAATCATTCAATTCATGGTTTTCTTCTACTTTGAGATTAGAAGAATATATAGGTATTTGTGAGAAAGCAAGCATGAGAAGTGGAGGATTTGCCAATCAAACAGTGACTTAATTTACAGTGACTAGATTTTCAGAGTAGCCTTCTGTGAAGAGCAAAACTCTTTTAGTGTAGGTGGTTCTTCATGGCAGTCAGCAATCTGAACAAAAATAATTTGTTGGGGGGCTGTTATTGTAACACAATTGACTGTTTCCTGTGAAGGAATAAATATAGGTATAGTGTTAAACTGCTGTATTTAATATAGACTTAAAAAGCAAGCTCCTCAGAGAGGAAACATGAGACACATGTTTTGTTACAGCATTAAAAAATCCATTCTGATATTATTTCAAATGCACATGAATCACTTTGTAACTCATAGCCATTTCTCCTGTTCTAGTTTTGGGAATATGATCTACAAAGAGAAGAGGGAGTCTGTCAGTAAAGAAGATCTTGCTAGAGCCATATTGGTCACCATCACCAATAACATTGGCTCTATTGCCCGGATGTGTGCAGTAAATGAGGTAAAACCTGACAAGGAAATGATCTATGTACAGCTCTGTTGTTTGTCTTCACATGAAATGATTGCTAAAATGGTGTATAATTTTAAACCTTTTAATACATTCTCAAGTGAAATGAGGAAATTCATGGAGCTTTGAGTTGGGCATACAGTCCCCCTGTTTTAGCAAGGGGACTTCAAGTCCTTCATCACAACATCCTGTGCTTACCTGCAGGCTTCAGGCTCCATTCTTTAACAAAGCTCCTCATCAGGTACCCTCCTCTTTGGCAAAGATGTCCTTGTCCCACTTCTCCAGAGGCAGTCAGAATATTCTGAAGCATTTCCTAGTACTTTAACCACAGAACAGTTAGGGTTGCAAAGGGCTCCTGGAGGTTATGTAGTCCAGCTCCCCTGCCAAGGCACCTAGGGAATGCACCCAGCCCTGAGACATGGACTCAGACCAACTGTGGACTCTGTGCTTGGAGGTTTCAAAATATGTGACTTGAGCAACAGCAGTATTTAAGCTGTTGAAAGTCCTCCTTTAAGCAGTGCATAATGATGGCCTCCAGCAGTTTCTCCAAGCTGAAATTATCCTCTGATCAAAGCCTTGTTTCTAGATAAACATTATTGTTAATTTTTTCTAGCTCTTGACACTTTAAAATTGCTTTGAGACCTCTCATCTTTCTGGTTGATAGAGAAGAAGGTTTCCTGCCATCTCCTGTTTCTCAGAGTTCAAAAAAACCCAGTATGTGTTCACAATTAGTGTGGACAGGCAAGAAGCTGTGGAAGAATACTGAATTAACGCATAGAAGACATGAGTGTCTGAGCAGGGATTTCTTCCTTCATTGTCAACAAACTTGGGATAGAATGAGATTTAGTAGCAGCTTTCTTGGAGAAGACTATGGGTAACTGAATTTAGAGTTCTACTTAAAATCTTTGCATGTAATTGTCTCAGAAGTACCAACAGCCCTGTTAGCTGCAGTATTCCTCCTTTTGCTTAGGAGCCAGATTACTTACATTTTCTAGTTTTAATATTGTAACTTCTCCCTCAGTTTCATTATCTTTCTCTCATGTCTGTCTTGGAGAAGGAAGGTAATTTTGTGAGTGTTAGTTTTGTCTTTTTGGTTTATGGCAAAGCTTAATAACAAAAGAGTTAAAATTAAGGTGAAGTTGAAATTACATTCTACATGTCTTAGGCAAATTATGCAATTTATGTTTAAGGGTGGGAGTAAATGAGGACAAATCAGAACTTGTAACTGCACAAACTACCTTTATTCCAAGGAGTTGTTGGTCTAATTCCAGCTATGTCACAGAACTACAAACCATAAGAAATAGCTAATAGGGATACACAAAGTGGTACCTTGAACTGATGTCTAAAGATTAAATGAATGTAATTATTTTGACTTCCTGCAGAATTACATTTTTGTGTTTTAACTATGTGTCTACTTTGTCTTCCCTGGGGACTAATCAAGGTGCTTAAAAACCAGTTGCATATTAGACATTTAACTACAGGTCATATTAGTTATTGTAATAACTTGGAAAGGATCTTTTATTTAATGCAATTAAGTGCTTTTTAAAGCACTGTGCTAAGGACTAACACAATTACATTTTCTTTGGTTCTTCCTCTCAGGTTGTTAAACCAGTGTTTAATGTTTTGCTTAGTGCTTGATTTACTTCAGTTAATGGGGAATATTAAGTAATTTTCACTTTTTTTACACTGGACTTGATTAAAATTCACAGCTCACTTGTAGTATTCAAGTACTCTTAGTCTGATGCAGGCTGAGGTGTACTGGGGGCTGAAGATGAAAGGCACATCTGTCATGTCTTACTGCCTTCGGCTTCTTTACAGTGCTGCCTTGTTGCATATGGATCAAGCAGCATTGTACAGGGCTATGAAGGCATTGAGTCTTCTCTACCAAACAGAAGTAGCTTTCATTTCATTTCTTTCTTAGCTGGGTTCTTTCTTTGGTGTAATTGTTGAAAATGCTCACTTAATTTGAAACACAAATGCTACTTCTCCTTTAATTCTTGAGGGTTGCACCGTTCTTCCTTTTCGCCAAGTATGCCATGTTTTAAATTTTGGAACCATGTTTTAATTGTGGGTTGTTTGGTGTTTTTGTGGTTTTTTCCTTTGCTCAAGACAGTCTTCTTTTCATAGCTTAATTTTTCAAAGCTGTGTTAAACAGTGAAAAGACTTAATCCTTTGCTGGTTTTCTTTTTTTTTATTATTTAGAAAATAAACAGAGTTGTGTTTGTTGGCAACTTTCTGCGTGTGAATACTTTGTCAATGAAGCTTCTTGCATATGCACTGGATTACTGGTCAAAAGGTCAGCTGAAGGCCTTGTTCCTAGAACATGAGGTATGCTGTGGCTCATTTATCTGTGTGTACTGTTTCACCATAAATCAGAAATGCCTCTATTGAGTAGCTCTCATGTGTGATATCCTGAGGCACCAAGTGCTCAGTAAATATTAGAAATAAGAGAAGGTTTGTCTTGCTGAATTGGTTCTCTGGGAACAGTTTTCTGCCAGGGAAGTACTTCAGTCACTTTGGGGTATCTCAGTTCGTGCTGTGGATCTCTGGAGAGGGACAAGAAAATGTTAAACAAGAAAATGCTAAGGGTCAGCAGTTTTCCTTGGGTTTGGGTGGAAACAACAGTAAGTACTGTGTTTCAAAGAGTGCAGCAATGTAAAGCTTGGTCCTTTGAAACACTTCCATTGTTCTCAGCTGAGCTTGAGCAATGTCTTGAAAGTCGAGACTGCTTTGACAAGGCCTGTTTTCATTCCACAACAGACCCCTCAGAGCTGCTGTAGGGATTTTATGCTTTGGGAATAGCCTGCTTTTGGGCAGCTTCTGCCATCTGGATCAGTATGCAGTGCTGAGAGCTTTGACCTGTGTTGGTTAAAATACAAGCAATCAGTATTAATTACAGGTGCAACAGTTGCTGACTTGTAGTTTCTGGGCAGTGGGTTGGGAATTTTTGTCCTCAGTTTCTGGGTCTGAAAATATTACAGCATTCCATCTATTCCCTTCAATTGATTTTCACAACTCTTTTCCTTTATTGCTTATCCCAAGACTGACAGTCTGACCTGATGGCCACAGTAACAGTGGAATAGTTCCTTGTTAGTTCTGCCCTCTTCAGATTTTCCTTGGGTAAATTTTAAACTCTTACATTTGCTCAAGTGTATATTCTAAGCACTTGAATACTTCTTAGTTATAGGGAGAGGAAGATTTCACTCCACAGGGGAAAAATAATTCAACAGGAGAACATGGTTCTTTGCATGCAGGTAAACAGTGCAAAAATGTGATGTGTGGATAATTTAAGGAATTTTTCACTTTTACTTTGGGAATAATGTTGCTATGGGTATTGAAGGTTTTTTCACAAGCAAAAGATGCAGCTTCTCTAGGAAGAAAAAAACAAATCTGACTTCCATGCTTTAGGAGTCCCTGAAACCTGTCTTAGAGGTCCTGCAGAGTATGGTGAGGCTTGGCAGGAAACCTCCTAGAGTCAAGCTAGATAAGAAGGATAAAATGTTTGTTTCACAAAGCCTTAAATAAGTACTGTGAAATATTATATATTAAAAGTGTATAGTGTTGTTTCTGCAGCACTGATCCATCAAATGGTTGTTGTCACTAAAATGTGATTACTGCAAAATTTAATACCCTACTTAAACTTGATTTTTTTTTTTTTTTTTTTTAACAGGGGTACTTTGGAGCTGTTGGTGCTCTGCTTGGGCTGCCAAATTTCAGTTGAAATACCAGATGTCACTACACTGAACTATTTTCCACCTGAATGACACTTGTTTATGTCTACGGGAATTAAATCTGGGGAGGGGAGAAGAAAAAAGCTGATTTTCTGTAACTCTTTTTAAAGAAGTGATTAAGCTACTGAGTATTGCTGTTGTAAGGAATGGGGTTTCACTCTGCTGGGCATTGGCAAGTGAACTGTTTGTGGCTATTATTTATGTTCTTTGGTACGTTTAGCCAGTAGTGAACTTATAATATGCAATACATCCTCTGAAAACAACTTTCCAGAAATTCCAGAAGAAGGAATGCCAGACCCTTTAGTGCTCAGGATGCAAATATTGCAGGGTTATTCCCAAGGCTTTAGGCCCATCAGTTTATATATCGAATTGATGACTGGAAAATTATTTTCATTAGTTATACTCTTATTATGAGCACAAGTTTTACGTGTGCTTACAGAAAACAAAAAACAGCAATGTACTATTGACAAGATGAGTAAACAATTGCTTCCCGCAGTAAACATTGTAATTATTTTATTTTTATGTGTCATGGAAATAATATTAATGCTTTAATTTCCAGTGGGAAAATAGAAACACAAAGAATCAGCCAAAGCAGCAGATTAAGCAGTTGATATTTTGAAGGTTTCATGAAGATACTCACCTTGATTTATTGGAAAATTCAGCTGGTATTTTGGGAAGATTCCTCTGTCTTTGACTGGATTTGGAAAAGAGTTCAGTGATTAATGAAGGCAGGTTTTGGGGGGAAGATTTAATTTTTTTTTTTATTTTTTGAGGGCATGACTTCCAAAATGCCTACTGTATTATCTTTTTTTTTTCTTCTTCTTCATAAGTTCTGCCATCATGAATCATCATTTGTAAAGGTACCATAAAGCCTGAGAGAACTGAAGACATTTATATAATAGATTATTTATGGGACCTCATAATTCTGGTGCTTTGGCTTATTTTTGTAGAGGTTTGGAAAAATTTTTGCTCTGTCCTACTGATTTGAAATTGTGGTTTCCCTTTAATTTTGTAAGGGTTGATCAAAATTCAAGCAGATGTTGAAGTTGAAAGGTTACTTTTGGATTTGGAAGTTTGTTTTTGGAAGTTGAGGACAGCATCAGAGTTTGTATTGCAGCAGCAAATGGACCAATATTTAATGCACTTGCAATATGGAACCATTCATCAAATTGTGGCCTTGGGATAAAATCCATACTCTGGAACTGATTTTTGGGGTTTTCTGTAGATTTTTAAAATTTACAGTTGTGATTATTACAAGAACTTTAGTCCTGAAGCCAGGGTATGAGATCTTAATCTTACAGGACTATTATGCAGTCAGTAGCTATATGAATTTTTGTGGACTAAATTTTGTGATATTTTCCTGTTAAATTTATTTCCTGTAAGTGCATGAGGAGCAGCCAGACTCAACCACCTTCATATCTTGGGGTTTAAGGTTTTTAAAACTGATTGCTCAAGTATTCCACAGCATGACTATGTTGTATTTACAGATACATTCCCCTTGTGTTAGAAACCCCTATGCTATTTTCAGTCTTTCTCAAAATTCAAAGCCCCAAACTAACATGTTAGCTTTTTGCTTTTAAAATTTTCTGTGGTCCTTTAAGAGTACAGTACCTTAGAGTAGGCAACTCATTAAGTGCAATGCTAATCACAAATGCGGTTCCATTTATTGTTGCTTTTCTTGGTACTTGTACTACATTTCCATTGTGCTTGCTTTGATGTTTCACTATAGACATAAACAACTAAAAACTACACTCACAGTTCAGCTGATCTAATGCTAAACCAGAGCACTTCAGAAAATAAGTGAATACAGTTTTTCTAGAATGTCTTTATAAATGCTGTAAACTGTTCCTTTTGAGTTAGGATTGACTATCAGAAATAACCTTTATTTGGTTATAAAACTGTGTAAAAAACTTAATTTTCTGAATGTTCTGGCAGCCTGCTGAAAATTTTGCAAACTAACTGCATATTTTACTTGCAAAGGGTACTTTAGGAGACCTACTGCAGCTCCAGTAGAAACAGTTCCTTTAGTCCATGTTTATTGCTACTTCATTTGTGATACTCAGAGTCCTCTTGAAGCGGTAGTTAAAGCTACTTTTATATTTTACCAAAAGCACATATAGAAGATGATTACCTAATACCCATAGTTCATGAAACCAGTTGAAGTTGATGTGACCTAACATGCATTTTTTTAAGTAAACTGTACAGAATTAAAAAATAAGCAAATGGAGTAATTCTTGAATAGCTGTACTGTATAGAAACTACTGTGAGAATCAAAAAGTATGCCCTACCTCTGATTTATTTCCCTTGAGCTTCTACAAAAATTGGCTTCCTTTTGCTAATTTTATCAGCACAATTGTTACTTCATTACAAGAGCAACCACAGCAGTTGTAAAGCCCAGGGGTCCTCTGTTTAAGCCACATCTTCGGGTTTCATCTCATTTTCTGTCAGCTTAGAACTTGTTACTAGAGTCTCCAAAGATTGACTCTACCACCAGGAGAAATGATAGGCATCACAAATAGTTGCAAGATAAGCCTTAATGTATTTTCTTCTAAATTATCTTGTAAACAGGTTGAAAATGCTCGTTTCTTTTATATGAGTCACTGAAGTAAGTTGCTTTTTCCTTCTATATTCTGTTTTTACTTTCACCCTTGCCATTTCTTTTCCTCAGAGCTAATTGGCTGAAGCAGCTTCAGGGTGAATTGATTCAGTGTGATGTACTACAGTAGAGAAAATTTGGGGTTTTCTCAGGATTGCTGTTGTCTTCTCAAGTGGAACCACTTTCTAGAGGAAAGTTGTGTGATAGTTCTTGAAAATAAAATGTAAGACCCATTTTGAATGTGTAATCATTTGCAGCTCAGTCAGCCATGCGAGTGCCTTTTATTTTTTTTCATAGAATGCCAGTTTTATGGTACTGGGACTTTATCCATGAGGTTTTCTAACCAATGTACGTACCAGAAAATGGCAGGTAATTTTACTGGCCGTGGAGATGATCCCTTTAATACAGTGCAACAAGAGATATCAGGAAAAAATCATCAGGTTTCTGGCTTCCTATCCCTGTTGCCATTAGTCTTGGGGTAAGGATTTTGCATTTCTTGGTCTTATCCCTCCAGCTTGGTCCTTTCAAGTATTATGCACAGTTTTATT